TTAAAAATTTAACTATTAAACTCTTAAATCAAATTTCATCATCTTCAAATTGTAAAAGAAATTAGAGTGTTTTTGAAAGAATACAAAAAAAAAAGAGATTGGAGTAACAAAGATTAAATGATCCTGTGTCTGTACATTATAATTTGTGTTTGAAAAATTAATACTTTATCTTATATTTATTTAAATTATATTTAAGATTTATTTTATAGTAAATTTAGTTTAAAATTGAGTTCTCTCTTATTATCATGTTTGGTGAATTTATTCTATATTATTTTTTTAATATTTATTAGTTTAAACCTAAAAATTTATACGTATTTAATTAAATTTATTATTTTAAGTTATTTAAATGATGATTCCCCCACTTGGCTTATTTTTTTCGTAGGTGTTTTTGTTGGCATCTTGGCAACAAAAAAAAAGTGAAAGTATGGCATCTCTGCAACAAAAAAAAATAAAAATAAAATGAAAGTATGGCATTTCTGCAAAAAAAAAGAAAAAAGAAAAAAGTATGGGGTCTGAATAAGTAGGGAGGCAAAGTGGGCAAAGCGATTCCCGTTCTTGCACATGGTAGCATATGTGGAAAAAAAAAAGAACAAATGAGTTTGACTGCTGACCATTTAGTACTTAACGGTCAGCAATGATGACAACATGAACAGTATTAGAGAGGGACGACAATGAACAAAAAAAGTGAAATAGAGGGACGACATTTTGGCTCTTTGGTACAGTAAAGAGATGACAACGAACATGTCCTTTAGTAGAGGGACAAGAACGAATAAAATATTAAAGTAGAGGGATGACAATTGGCTTTAAACCTTGTTTTTTTTGTTTTGGTAATGGACTGATTTTTTTTTTTTTTGAATAATCTATAATTTAGGGAGGGGGAAATTTTTTAAGATGTTGGTGGACTTCGAAATCCCCAATCAATTAATTTACACACTTTAAAATTTAAAGGTGAATCACTTTATGCGCGGTTCGGTAATGGACTGATTTAATTACACAGAAAAGACACAAAGGGTCCCATAGCCTCTTAACTCATTCCCATAAAGCAAACCCCAAACACACGTTGTGTTGGCCCATTTCTAATATGAGCTTGCCCAAAAATGTGTTCGTTTGAGGACCAGGGTGCTCAGGCCTCAAGCCAGGCTCAGTTTACTGGCAAAAGCCTAACAATAACCCCTTACCTTGATAAGTTGAACGGTTTTGGCCCCTCACTTTATAACATAACGATTTTAGCCCCTAACCTATAAGAATGAAAGAAAATAACCCCTTTTTGTAACTTTCGTTTGTTGAGCTGTTACCGTACATCACTTCCGTCCATTTCTCCGTTATCTTTCCATTAACGTTCTCAAGCTTCTCCAAGAAGCCTAATGCATTTTTTTTGGAAATTCAAACCTTTTTTTTTTTTGGGAATTCAAA